AGAACATGATTTTGAACATCTTTTGTTCAATATTACTTGTCAAAATAGTTCTCACTTTCGAGATATAAAGCGTCAAAGATTTAGCATTCTGGCCCCTTTTGGCCCCTAATCGTGTATTATATGACATTAAAATCATAATATACAGTGGGAGATTGTTGAGATAAACATTTTTGCTTCAGTAATGTATATCAAAATATTGACTATTAAAGAGTTATCGAAAAAAGACTTTAAGCCCCTTTTGGCCCCTAATTTGAGTGCCCAGCCCCTTTTTTCTTGATTTCATCTTGAAGCTCTTAGGATTTTAAACACTTTGTGTTCAATAACTATTCAGAGATTCTTTTTCGTTTTCGAGTTATTTGTAAAAGAAATATTTAGGGGCCAACCCTTCAACTCCCTAATGGGGACTTTGAGCGAAAAATGAAAGGTTGCATATTGTTCAGAACATGATTTTGAACATCTTTTGTTCAATATTACTTGTCAAAATAGTTCTCACTTTCGAGATATAAAGCGTCAAAGATTTAGCATTGTGGCCCCTTTTGGCCCCTAATCGTGTATTATATGACATTAAAATCATAATATACAGTGGGAGATTGTTTAGATAAACATTTTTGCTTCAGTAATGTATAACAAAATATTGACTATTAAAGAGTTATCGAAAAAAGACTTTAAGCCCTTTTTCTGCCCCTAATTTGAGTGCCCAGCCCCTTTTTCTTGATTTCATCTTGAAGCTCTTAGGATTTTAAACACTTTGTGTTCAATAACTATTCAGAGATTCTTTTTCGTTTTCGAGTTATTTGTAAAAGAAATATTTAGGGGCCAACCCTTCAACTCCCTAATGGGGACTTTGAGCGAAAAATGAAAGGTTGCATATTGTTCAGAACATGATTTTGAACATCTTTTGTTCAATATTACTTGTCAAAATAGTTCTCACTTTCGAGATATAAAGCGTCAAAGATTTAGCATTGTGGCCCCTTTTGGCCCCTAATCGTGTATTATATGACATTAAAATCATAATATACAGTGGGATATTGTTGAGATAAACATTTTTGCTTCAGTAAGGTATAACAAAATATTGACTATTAAAGAGTTATCGAAAAAAAACTTTAAGCCCCTTTTGGCCCCTAATTTGAGTGCCCAGCCCCTTTTTCTGGATTTCATCTGCAAGCTCTTAGGATTCTAAACACTTTTTGTTCAATAACTATTCAGAGATTCTTTTTCGTTTTCGAGTTATTTGTAAAAGAAATATTTAGGGGCTAACCCTTCAACTCCTTAATAGTGACTTTGAGTGAAAAATGAAAGTTTGCATATTGTTCAGAACATGATTTTGAACATCTTTTGTGCAATATTACTTGTCAAAATATTTCTCACTTTCGAGATATAAAGCGTCAAAGATTTAGCATTGTGGCCCCTTTTGGCTCCTAATCGTGTATTATATGACATTAAAGTCATAATTATTAGTGGTAGATCGTTTAGATAAACATTTTTGCTTCAGTAATGTATAACAAAATATTGACTATTAAAGAGTTATCGAAAAAAGACTTTAAGCCCCTTTTGGCCCCTAATTTGAGTGCCCAGCCCCTTTTTCTTGATTTCATCTTGAAGCTCTTAGGATTTTAAACACTTTGTGTTCAATAACTATTCAGAGATTCTTTTTCGTTTTCGAGTTATTTGTAAAAGAAATATTTAGGGGCCAACCCTTCAACTCCCTAATGGGGACTTTGAGCGAAAAATGAAAGGTTGCATATTGTTCAGAACATGATTTTGCACATCTTTTGTTCAATATTACTTGTCAAAATATTTCTCACTTTCGAGATATAAAGCGTCAAAGATTTAGCATTGTGGCCCCTTTTGGCCCCTAATCGTGTATTATATGACATTAAAATCATAATATACAGTGGGAGATTGTTGAGATAAACATTTTTGCTTCAGTAATGTATATCAAAATATTGACTATTAAAGAGTTATCGAAAAAAGACTTTAAGCCCCTTTTGGCCCCTAATTTGAGTGCCCAGCCCCTTTTTCTTGATTTCATCTTGAAGCTCTTAGGATTTTAAACACTTTGTGTTCAATAACTATTCAGAGATTCTTTTTCGTTTTCGAGTTATTTGTAAAAGAAATATTTAGGGGCCAACCCTTCAACTCCCTAATGGGGACTTTGAGCGAAAAATGAAAGGTTGAATATTGTTCAGAACATGATTTTGAACATCTTTTGTTCAATATTACTTGTCAAAATAGTTCTCACTTTCGAGATATAAAGCATCAAAGATTTAGCATTGTGGCCCCTTTTGGCCCCTAATCATGTATTATATGACATTAAAATCATAATTATTAGTGGTAGATTGTTGAGATAAACATTTTTGCTTCAGTAATGTATAACAAAATATTGACTATTAAAGAGTTATCGAAAAAAGACTTTAAGCCCCTTTTGACCCCTAATTTGAGTGCCCAGCCCCTTTTTCTTGATTTCATCTTGAAGCTCTTAGGATTTTAAACACTTTGTGTTCAATAACTATTCAGAGATTCTTTTTCGTTTTCGAGTTATTTGTAAAAGAAATATTTAGGGGCTAACCCTTCAACTCCTTAATAGGGACTTTGAGTGAAAAATGAAAGGTTACATATTGTTCAGAACATGATTTTGAACATCTTTTGTGCAATATTACTTGTCAAAATATTTCTCACTTTCGAGATATAAAGCGTCAAAGATTTAGCATTGTGGCCCCTTTTGGCCCCTAATCGTGTATTATATGACATTAAAGTCATAATTATTAGTGGGAGATTGTTTAGATAAACATTTTTGCTTCAGTAATGTATATCAAAATATTGACTATTAAAGAGTTATCGAAAAAAGACTTTAAGCCCCTTTTGGCCCCTAATTTGAGTGCCCAGCCCCTTTTTCTTGATTTCATCTTGAAGCTCTTAGGATTTTAAACACTTTGTGTTCAATAACTATTCAGAGATTCTTTTTCGTTTTCGAGTTATTTGTAAAAGAAATATTTAGGGGCCAACCCTTCAACTCCCTAATGGGGACTTTGAGCGAAAAATGAAAGGTTGCATATTGTTCAGAACATGATTTTGAACATCTTTTGTTCAATATTACTTGTCAAAATAGTTCTCACTTTCGAGATATAAAGCGTCAAAGATTTAGCATTGTGGCCCCTTTTGGCCCCTAATCGTGTATTATATGACATTAAAATCATAATATACAGTGGGAGATTGTTGAGATAAACATTTTTGCTTCAGTAATGTATATCAAAATATTGACTATTAAAGAGTTATCGAAAAAAGACTTTAAGCCCCTTTTGGCCCCTAATTTGAGTGCCCAGCCCCTTTTTCTTGATTTCATCTTGAAGCTCTTAGGATTTTAAACACTTTGTGTTCAATAACTATTCAGAGATTCTTTTTCGTTTTCGAGTTATTTGTAAAAGAAATATTTAGGGGCCAACCCTTCAACTCCCTAATGGGGACTTTGAGCGAAAAATGAAAGGTTGCATATTGTTCAGAACATGATTTTGAACATCTTTTGTTCAATATTACTTGTCAAAATAGTTCTCACTTTCGAGATATAAAGCGTCAAAGATTTAGCATTGTGGCCCCTTTTGGCCCCTAATCGTGTATTATATGACATTAAAATCATAATATACAGTGGGAGATTGTTTAGATAAACATTTTTGCTTCAGTAATGTATAACAAAAAATTGACTGTTAAAGAGTTATCGAAAAAAGACTTTAAGCCCCTTTTGGCCCTTAATGTGATGACTCAGCACTTTTTTCTTGATATCATTTTATAGATCTTGTCATTTTGCACAAATTTTGTTCAATATGTTTTAACAAAATAATTATACTTTAAAAGATATGATGCAAAATGTCTTTAAAAATCCGTCATGATTCGTGTCCTAAATTTTGACCCCTACCGAGCTTCCATACTAGGTACTTCCGGAAAATATCCTGACCCAGGTGCACCATGGCAACATGTCCTCTATTATCACTGAAAATTTCAGCGCTCTAGCTTAAGCCATTATTGAGTTCTATCACAGACACGGAGGTCGTTTGAATTTTAAGAAAAGGGCGATAACTCTAGACCGGAAGTGATTTTCAAAAAATCCTTCAGCCGGAATTAACTTCAGATAATTCTACACCAACCCTGAAAATTTGAAACAAATCGATCCAAAGATCTCTGAGGAATCGTCGGCACAAAATTTGTGCAGAAAAAAAGAATAATAATAATAAGAAAATTGAAAAAGAAACATAAGAATAATAGAAGGGTCTTCCGCTGAAGACGGAAGACCCTAATAATAAAAGTGAAAAAGAAACCGAAGAATAATAGAAGGGTCTTCCGCTGAAGACGGAAGACCCTAATAATAATAAGAAACAGAGTAAAAACAATATGTTCCCCAACTTCGTTTGGGGAACATAAATATGATAGTTATTCCCTATATTTATATGTTCTTGATTCCGAATTCACGTGCTTCTGTCTCCATTTGTCCGCCCTGCATGTTATTTTTTTAACCACGCCTTTTGATGTACCTGTAGATGTATGTAGAAATAAAGTATTTTTACTAATTGTAGTTTTATTTAGGACAAGAAATTTTAAAATGTAAATATTTCACAGACTGCGTTTTATTGTAAACAGTGCGCTAATTTATTTACACGTATCAATTATTGTATCTGTTTGTTTAATTTTTTTTTATTTCATTCTACTTTTATATTTTAAAATATTTTTTTGTCTTCAGAGAACTTTGTACATGCCTGTTAATTCAAACTGAATGAAAAGAAATTATTGATAAAAAGAGGAAATTACCGGGAAAAGATAAGTGCTAAAAAACAATTCTCCTTTCAGGCTTATTCTCTCTCGTTGTCAAACATCTCTTCCTTTTTTATCTTTAGTGATAACATTAAAATATAGTACGTTGCGGATCCATGAGTTGATATCAGTTCAAATTGTACATTGCACTTTACAAACAACTTAACCTAGATTAAATCGACATTTAGTTAAAAAAAAACATGGCAGCCAGTAAACCACAATATCCACTGGGCTCTCCTAAAGAGCATATTAAAATGTGCAAAACCCACGATTTACCTATTGATGTTATATGTGAGGATTGTGATGAATTTATTTGTGGAAAGTGTGCCAAGGCAGATCATAAAGAACATGAATGGAGCACTATACCCACGGCAGCCAGCCAAAGGAGAAGAGGTCTGCTTAACTTTCTAAGAAAGATCAGAAAAGAGGATCTGCCTGGGATTGATGAGAAGATGTGCAAGGTGTCAAAAAAGATAACAGAAAATAAAGAATTGTGTGACTCTGATATCAAAAAGGTTCAGAGCCATATTGATGAGATAATAACCAGGTTATTAGATATGACGAAACGAAATGTACAAAGATTGAAAGACAATTTGAAGGCTAACAATGATAAGCTAGAAAGTGTGAAATCTGAATTGGACAAAGAGAAGAAAAAAATTGCGGAGTCAGTTGAGTTCATGGAGGATAACAAGAGTACCATGTCAGATTAAGGCCTGATTGACAACCACAGAGAAATGACACAACTGCTGTATGGCCTAAATGTTGATATAAATGACTGTAAACTTTCAGTAAGATACAATAGAGGAAAAATCAGTGATGTGGTGCTGGGAAGTTTGATTGGAAAAACACTGGATTTAGATTATATCAACTTGACTGAAACAAGCTCATTCAAGAAAGGAGAACAACGAATATTTTTGTTGCGGGCATTGTGTGAAAATCAGTGTTTTATAAGACAACACGAGTCACCTTATACTGAACAAGTAAGCAAAGAAGGTGATACAAAACATCAATGTAAAATAAAGATGTTCGATCTATGTGTGACAGACACTGGTGATGTTTATTTTACTCTCCTTAATAATTGCTATACCATCAACTGTCTGTCACTATCAGGATCTGTCTCTACAGTCGTCAGAACAGAGCCACTGACACCAGTAGGAATCAGTCAGTGGACGGTGGACTACTGGTCACATTGAGAGACAACGAATCAGATCTTTTCAAATTAGAGTCACACAGCAGACGTCTGGTGAGACACATCACAGTGACAGGTGACGTCATCCATGAGTATGGGTACCAAGAGGACGGTCAAACCAGACTGTTTACATGTCCAGCCAGAGTCACACAGAACAGTAACAGTGATATCTGTGTTGTGAACCGTACAAGTCTCACTACAGGTGAACTAGTGATTGTGTCTGTCTCTGGTCGTATGAAGTCAGTCTACCGTGGACAGAACATGACAAAGAACTTCTTTCCAACTGATGTAGTGTGTGACTCACTCTGTAACATCCTTGTTACCGACAGAGCTAGTAAAAATATCCATCTGCTGAGTCCTGTCGGGGAGTTCTTGAAGTTCTTGCTATCAGGGAGAGAAGTGAACGGTCCAGCCAGATTATCTCTGTACAAGTCTACACTGTGGGTGGGATATTATGATGGACTTGTCAAAGTATTTCAGTATTAGAGTATATAAGTATAAAATGTGTTATATATGTGGCGTGATTAAAAATTTTCTCATTATATATTACAAAAATTTATTCTTTAAATCATTTTCAATCTACTTCAAACTTATTTGTGGATTGTTCTTTTCGGTTGTTGTCATTTAAAGTTTAAGTTAATAATATTTTAACTGAAATAACTCGTAAGCTTTTCACTTGAATTCTAGTTGCATCACTGTAATTGATAAGAAAATTTTTTCCATGAATTGGTGTACGGTTTATGGATTCGTATTTTTAGATAGTGACTTATAATAATAATCCAGGCCAGCAAAAGATAAACTAAGTCTGTCCAGGTTACGAAGATATTGCAAATAAATTGAAATTATACAAAATAACTAAATAGTATCCTCTTTATATAACAAAAGCATAAGGTTATAGATAATGTATTTATAATATAAACATTACTGTACAAAATATACAATTGTATAAATAAATCAAGTTATCAAGCAGTTTAGGAATAGTCTGGCTTGGTTTTGGAATTCAATTTAACAATAATATTGATAGAAAGTCTAATTTTGCAAGGAATAGCTTAAATCACTCCAAAGTGATCCTTAACTACAATTAAGTCTTGGAGAGTAACATAACATAAAATAGGACAGTTTACTCAAGAGTCAAGTAAGATCAACTTGTAATACACCTTTTTAAAAATAATTTACGTCTGCATTGATGCATATGTCCTTTCTATACACACACCATCACCATTCCAGTCAGCCAAATTATATAACGTCAAACTAAATGCAACAAGACCTGTTTGTAAGATATAAACTATTACACACATTATATCTAACAACAGAAAAAGGGGCATTAATTTAGGGTTTGGACATATTAATTTGAATAAATATATGAAGTGGGATCGGGCGCAAGTTATAAATACTTGATTCATCATCATGATAGCTCATCAATTTCACACAAAAAATTAAATAGATTTGTCCAACAGTTAAAAATTAACCCAACTAATTACAACATGGAAATATAGACTGCTGTGCTGTGTGATACACAATGAACCATAAGAAAAATATAAATCAATTAAACCTACCAGAATGTTGACTATATGTGCATTTTAACAGCACTGAGTGAAGTTTCCCAACAGAATAAAGAATGAACGTCAAAATTAAAAAAAATCTTATAAAATGTTTTACCTGGCCTTATTGTAACAAGAGCCCCAGGGGTCACATCGCTCACCTGAGCACTTGCTAGAAAAAAGACAAAATCAGTATTGTTTTTAAAAGTTTAAATGTATAAGTGCTCCGACCTATCCCTAAAAGTGGAAAGGGTATGATTAAAAAAATGAAATTACAATAAGCATGCATTTTAGTATACATATTTTTTGACAACTGACTTCTTTTTCCCTACAAGTTTGAGCTTTTGTTGTGGCCCTTCTCTATCCCCCCTCTCTACCCTGGGTCATGATTTGAACAAAACTTGAATCTACACCACATGAGGATCGATGCTTCCATGTTAAAAAAAACAATCATAACTTTTCTGTTTTGATAAGACGATTTTTCCTATATCCTCCAAGGAGGATGCTTCAAAATAAATATGACTATTCATGTTGACTTTGTTGAAAAGAGAAGTTTTAAATAGTGTTGGCAACGAGTACCCGGTTAACCGGTTAACCGTCGAACGATGCGAGTATCGGTTAGTAAAGCTGGTATTCGGTTACTCGGATAAAAATACATTTTTTATAGTAAATACGTATAAAATAATTTTTTTGTTATTTTTAAATGTATATTGACATATTTCCCCTATTTAATTACCGTTAGGCTTGCTCTAGTGGTTCACGAATAGGATGGATTTGTTTTGATTAGTTTAATTAATGACTTTAATTGCCAGGGGGTACACGTTTTGAAGACCTGAGTTATAATTACCTCATTTAGACCTGTGTTAGTCAGAGGAACATACTTTAATTAGATGCCGCCGCAAACTTCTAAAGCGTGGAAATATAGAATGTGTCAGATGCAATTTATGTGATTCGGATTTGTCGTATACGGATGAAACTATAAATATGCTAAATCACATAAGATTGAAAAATAATTCGATAACCAATGACTTGCATGCAACTCAACAAATATAACCAGCAATTGCAAAGTGCTATAGGGTATTTTAATATTCCTCGATCGCAACATATATCTTCTTCAGGTGTCGATAGAATTATTTTTTTTAAATAAAAATAAATTCCCCGTTTCAAGTGACATTTAAAATCAAAATTCTTAGAAGATATTGTGTTTTTGGAGTTTGTATTTGTAAATAAAGTTCATATATGTAACATTTATTATTTATTTCTATCAATATGTAAAATGACGAGATTAATAATAAATACAGAACCTATAACAAAAAATCATCCGAGTAACCGGGTACTCGATCGGAAGATTAAGCGAGTAACCGGTTACTAAAAATCGTCCGATTTGCCAACACTAGTTTTAAAGATTTTCCCTATACATTCTTATGTAATACTTTGATCGTCCACTGTGGCCCTACCATACCCCCAAGGGTTATGATTTTAACAAACTTGAATATACACCACAGCAGATGCTTGCATATAAATATGACAATCATGGCTTTGCTGTTCTTTGGAAGATAATTTTTGAACATTTTTGTGCGCCCGAATCGATAGATTCGGGGCGTATATTGTTTTTGTTCTGTCTATCTGTTTATCTGATTGTTTGTTTGTCTGTCTTTTGTCAACTTTAACTTCGTCATAACGTTTGAACTGTGAGAGACTTCGACTCCTGATACCCGGTAATTAACCCCATTAATCCCCCAGGATAAAGATGTATAGCTGAAATATTACTGCACTTTTACAAATTAGCCCCTATCTTATTTTATGTAAAATTTTAAAAAGGCCGCTTGAAGATGACGATATATTAGACGGATGAACGGGGATAACAACAAAATACTAGTATACGTCTCCGGTCAGCCTTTCTACCTTTGCTGTTTGCAACAATTTTATGACTGGGCATTTATAGAAAGGCTATTGTTTTAATTTTTTCAAAGACACATTGGGGCAAATGCATGATTTTTTTAAAATAATAGTTTTGAGCCTTGTTTTATGCCTAGTTGACAATTTATATTCTTTAACGGCTCTATATATGGGTTTGTTTACTGTTCGTTTATATCTTCTCGATCAACTATTCAGTGACACATGAATACAATTAGTTTAAAGGTTATTAAAAATGAATTGTAGAATTCTATATTCTTGTCAAATGACATCAGTTTAAATTGTTCTATGAACTTCAAAGTTTCCTTATAATACGTTATAGACATTCTACAAATATGGCAGCCAGTATACCAAAATATCCACTGGGCTCTTCTCAAGAGCATATTGAAATGTGTAAAATCCATGATTTACCTATTGATGTTATATGTGAGGATTGTGATGAATTTATTTCTGGAAAATGCGCAAAAACAGACCATAGAGATCACGAATGGAGCACTATACCCACGGCAGCCACCCAAAGGAGAAGAGGATTGATAAGACTTCTGAGGAAGATCAAGGAAGAGGATCCCCTAACAAAAAAATACTATAGTAAACTATAGTTAACTATAGTTTACTATAGTTAACTATAGTAAATCAAAGTTCCAAAGTTTTGACCATAGTAAATCAAAGTTCCAAAGTTTTGACCATAGTAAATCAAAGTTCCAAAGTTTTCACCATAGTAAATCAAAGTTCCAAAGTTATTACTATAGTAAATCAAAGTTCCAAAGTTTTGACCATAGTAAATCAAAGTTCCAAAGTTTTCACCATAGTAAATCAAAGTTCCAAAGTTATTACTATAGTAAATCAAAGTTCCAAAGTTTTTACCATAGTAAATCAAAGTTCCAAAGTATTTACCATAGTAAATCAAAGTTCCAAAGTTTTTCTCCATTACAAATCAAAGTTCCAAAGTTTATATCAAAGTATTAAAGTTTTTTTATGTTTTTAATAAGTTTTTTTAAATTATTAATCGGTTTAAAAGGTGATGATTTTGGTTTGTTTGGGCTGATTTTTGTTGTTCATCTCAATTTTGATATGCAAAGTAATTTATTTAAATGCATTATTTACATGTTGACTGATGTTAAAAAAGCAAATATTTTGATTCTAAATGATGGATTTTTTTATCTTATAATAATTTTTTCTCCATAGATAATGATAAATATTGCTTATTTATCGGTGCAAGGACAATTTATTCATTAGAAGTCATTTCTTGTACTTTGTTCTTTTAGGGGACGATTCGGGTTTTTAGATCGTTCATCGAAGCTGTAATAAATCTTATTCTTGACATTTCATAAAATGTACAAAATGAGAATCAAAACCATAATTCCACGGGTTTTATAGTACTTAATCAAAGTTCCAAAGTTTTCACTATAGTAAATCAAAGTTCCAAAGTTTTTACTATAGTAAATCAAAGTTCCAAAGTTTTCACCATAGTAAATCAAAGTTCCAAAGTTTTCACCATAGTAAATCAAAGTTCCAAAGTTTTCACCATAGTAAATCAAAGTTCCAAAGTTTTAACTTTGGTACTATAGTTAACTACAGTAAACTATAGTTAACTATAGTTTACTATAGTATTTTTTTGTTAGGGTCTGCCTGGGATGAATGAGAAAATAGAGAAGATTCCACAGCAGATCACAGAAAATAAAGACCTGTGTGATGCTGAGATTAAAAACTCCTGAAGCATGTTGATGAGATAATGGCCAAGTTATCAGAAATCAAGAAACGAAATGAAAAAAGATTGAAAGAGAATTTGGAGGAAAAAAAAATAAAAAGTTGAACGGTTTGAAATCTGAGCTAAACAAAAAGAAGAAAGAAATTGAAGAGATGGTAGAGTTTATGAAGGAAAACAAGAATAATATGTCAGATTTCGGCTTGATCGACAACCACAGAGAACTGTTGATATAGAGGAATATAAACATTCAGTGAAATACAGTAAAGGTGAAATCAGTGATTATGTAATAGAGAAATTAATAGGAAAAACTCAGGACTTGAAAGGTATCATTTTGACCGAAACAAGTTCTTTCAAATGACACCAAGATCAATGACCTTATATGACAGATGAAAACTATACTTAACGAATTGTAAACTGTAGTTCAAGATTTGTAAACTATAGTTAACTATGGCACGCCAAATTCACAAAAATGAGCAAATCATAGTTTCACAATCGGTAAACTAGGTTTATCGGTTGTAAACTATAGTTTACGGACTGTAAACTATAGTGAACAACGTTAATCTATATTTTACATCTGTAAACTATAGTTAACGTGATAATCTATGTTTCACAACCGTAAACTATACTGAACGCAGAAAACTATCATTTGCGATTGCAAAACATAGATTATCTGATAAATACAGTTTCACGATTTGTAAACTATAGTTTACAAACCGTTAACTATAGTTAACGATCTGATAAATATAGTTTCACGATTTGTTGAACTATGATTAACAACTCTTAACTATAGTTTACGATTGTAAACTATAGTTTACAAACGTGAATCTATGTTTATCAACAAAATCTATTGTTAACGCTTATTACAGACAGATAAATTAGATTATCATTCGTAAACTATAGTTAACAACCGTTAAATATAGTTTTACAGATGAAAGCTATACTTAACGAATCGTTAATTATAGTTTACGGTTTGTAAACTATAGTTTACAGTCGATAAACATAGTTTATAAATTGTGAAACTAGGTTTTTCTCATTTTTGTGAATTTGGCGTGCCATAGTTTACAGTCGATAAACCTAGTTTATCAATTGTGAAACTATGTTTAGCATGCCAAATTCACAAAAATGTGCTAATCATAGTTTCACATTCGATGAACTAGGTTTATTGGTTGTAAACTATAGTTTATGGATTGTTAACTATAGTTAACAACGTTAATCTATATTTTACATTTGTAAACCATAGTTAACGCGATAATCTATGTTTCACAACCATAAATTATACTTAACACCAAAAACAATCATTTGCGATTGCAAAACATAGATTATCTGAAAAATACAGTTTCTCGATTTGTAAACTATGGTTTACAACTCTTAACTATAGTTAACGATCCTAAATTATAATTTACAGACGTGAATCTATGCTTATCAACAAAATCTATTGTTAAGTTTTTATTAAAGACAGATAAACTTAGATTAGCATTCGTAAACTATAGTTAACAACCGTTAAATATAGTTTTACAGATGAAAACTATGCTTAACGAATCGTTAACTATAGTTTACGGTTTGTAAACTATAGTTTACAGTCGATAAACCTAGTTTAACAATTGTGAAATTAGGTTTAGCTAATTTTTGTGAATTTGGCGTGCCATAGATAAACCTAGTTTATCGATTGTGAAACTATGATTTGCTCATTTTTGTGAATTCGGCGTGCCATAGATAGCGACCGTATAGAATTGACAAAATGCCGACTTTGAACGAGGTTATTGACTTTTCTGAAGCATCAGTTTATCAGTAAGTAGTATGCCCCGCTTCAAAAATTCATCGTTCTCAGAGCAAGATCTTGAGTAGCAATAAACCTTGATAAATAAATAGTTGAAAGTGGTACATACATAACTAAAGGGTATGGGAGAAGTTGCTGATAAGAGATGGGCTACCTTCAATATTATGGGGGGGGGGGGGAAATGGCAGTGTCCATGTTTTGCTTTGGGAAAATCCAAAATAGATCTATGTGTTAATAAAACATTCAAGATTTTTTGGTAAATTTTATTCAAGTTCACTTGGATATATCAAGTCGGCATATAAATCAAAATAACTGTATTGTTGATTGATAACACATCGTTGATATGTCTGAAAGTCGAATTGAAGGTCGCAGCAGGGGTGTGAATAAACTTGGCTTCATATGAATGTAAACAGGGATAGGCTAAAAATTGAGCAAAATTGGCTGCAATGAATTACCCACACTCGTATGCTACCTTCTGATAAACGATTTTGAATATTCAACGTGTTGATGACTAAAAATTCAAAAAACAAAAATCGAACTGAAAAAAATGGCTCCAATTATACACACCTGCAGACGGTGTGATTAGCTTGATAAGATTCCCACGCCATTACTCAATTTTTCTACAATTTATCTGCAGCAGACCAGATGCTAACACAGTTTTAGTGTTAGCTAAACATGCTAAGCAAAGGTTATTGTCACAATATTAATGCAGTTAAAAAACAATGAAAAGTGTTCGAAATGGAATTATGGTTAATAGCCATGGATTAACGCTAAGTAAACAGTGTCTCTGCTGCCGGAATCCTAAAAATGCAGAAATTAATGCGAGAGTAATTATTCTGGATGATTAGTTTTCCAATGTCACCAAAAGTAAATTTTGTCTTTTGTCATGGGAAAAAGGCAACATTTGTCATAATACTTATTGGAAAATCTCAATGATATGTGGTAACTTCATACAAATATAATATTTGCAGTCATTGGTTTTTGAGGACATAAGGGGACGACATATTTATGACGTTTTGTACACTGGATGACTCTTTCCATCAGAATTTTCGCTGCTTTTTGCTCCTACCCAGTACATGCGAGTAAGTGATCAGCAAATGGAAAAAAAATAATTGTTTTTAATTTTAAATTAACTGGTATTTTCAATAAAAACAAAGCACTCATCACTCCCACATTTTCATACAAGTCCATGGTTCTCATTAGATAGGGACACTTTCCTAATGAAGATAAACGTTAAAACTCAGCAACTGCCATAGCAGTAAACAGATAGATGCTTTAAAAATAACAAATATGTTCACAATTCAGTGTATTCAATATAAATGGAATAAGGCATCTTTATGTAGATTTAAATTGAAATCAGGTTAAAATATGAAATGAAACAAAATTTGGAGAGAATTGTACCAATAACCTTATTTGATTGTATGGGGAGAGAAAAATTCTTTGATTTGTTTTCTATATGTATGTACTATGTAAGTATTTTCTTGAAAAGCGGAAGGGGGAGGGGGGTTATATAGTGATATGGATGCCTGTCTGTGCGCCCATCCGTCCGTTACGCTTTGGGGTACCCATCCCTTATCTGCAACTCCTCTTATACCCTTGAATAAATTTTGATGAAACTTTCACAGAATCTTTAAAATTACATTGTGCCATTGTGCACCTTTATTCTACTTTTTCATCGCACACATATTTCTGGTTTCCCATAATTGAGACTATTGAGAAAACCATTCTTTCATAGGCACTTGTTTCTGTAATATTTTTTTGACCTTTAGTATCACACTTTTGACCTATAATAGTAACACGCGTATTAATATTATACTATGGGTTAAAAAAATTATTACCGAAACAAGTGACTGTGCATTCTTTCTATAATATTGAAAGATGCTCACTTTTATCCGCAACTCCTACTACATCACTGAATAAAACTTTATGATACTTTTACAGCTTCTTTATTACATAATGCCATTGAGCGTCTCCTTTTTTCTGATCTGACTTTTTTTCTGCGTCTCCCAGAGCAAAACATAGACTTTGCAATTATAATCATATGGGAGGCGGGGTTATCATTTAGTGAGCTCAGCTGCGGTATCTCTAGTTTAATTATTGAAAAGAGGGAGGGTATATAGTGATCGGGATGCCCGTCCGTCTGTCCGTCCGTCCGTTACGATTTGGGGTACCCATCTCTTATCCGCAACTCCGTATATACCACTGATTGATATTTTACAGATTCTTTGTTATTCTTTCTGTTTTGTGCCATTTTGCACCTCTTATTTTACTTTTTGATCGGAAACACGGGTTTCCCTTAGCTGTAAAACTGTAACTCTTCGAGAAAAAAAAAATATATTGACAGACCCGAGAGCTACAGAGCCAAGTGCCTTTGAAAAAACTGTATATTTATAGAGAAGGAAAAAATTGCGCTCGATTAATTTCTCCAAATTCTTACCTAAACTATACAAAAGCTCATTTTCAAAACATTCCTTTGACTGTATCATTTCATTATGTGATATCTGCGTTGGACTGAAATATCCCACTGCCCATAATGACAGTGTAAGTAGGAAAAATGGTCGCATTCCAGGCTCATGAGGGCTATTTATAATGGTCATAAGACATTTTTTAGCCGGGCTTATTGCTCGAAGAGCAATTGCCGGCTTATGTGATCCTGTTCAAGGCAGGATGTTAACCCAATAGTCGCCATTTTAAAGTTACGTGCAAACATATAGTTCTTACTCTCAACCGCTTTTGAGATAATACAAACGCTAAATAAAGCAACAAAAATAAAACGAAGTTTATTATAGGCGGGTCAAGGGAGTGCAGCCCCTGTGGGGTCGGGTCAAGGGAGTGCAGCCCCTGGGGGGATAGCCGGGTCAAGGGAGTGCAGCCCCTGGGGGGATAGCCGGGTCAATGGAGTGCAGCCCCTGGGGGGATAGGTGGGTCAAGGGAGTGCAGATTAGGGGGTCTGTGGGGGATAGCCTGGTCAATTCAGTACATATAGCCCCCTAAATACGGGGGTTTTACACTGTGTTTACATTATATACTATACGCTGCTACTACGATTTTGTCAGCGACTCAAGAATTTAATTATAACGTCACGCTTCACAGTCTACCCAGCCTAGCCTAATCGGTTCAAACTGATTTCCTCAAAACAATAAAAACCTGGATTTTTTACTGAAAACAATTACAAAAACACACATGGTTTATATACCTTTACTGTAAGGGCCCTGTGCATCAATACGTTTTACCTGCGTTTTTATACCTGTTGCATCATCTGTAAAGGGCCGTGTGCAAAAACTTAGGGTCGTGTGCAAAAATACCATAGACTTACCTATGCATTGTGACGTCATAAGCTTGGCAGCGACGTCATGTTAGTCCTTCACAAGCCGCGATGGCTGCTTATTTTGACACAATAACACAGACTTTCACAGCGCTTGAGACTTCATGTAATAACAGTATGGTCCTATGGATTTCAGTACCAAAACTGATTTTCTACCGTTTTTCTTCCAAGAAAGTTCTGAACAGCTGAATCCTGGATCAGCCTAGATGTTATTTCACTGGATTATTTAATGAATATTACTCTACTGAGTTACCTGGTTACATGGTAAGTTTTAACAAACTTTTCTTTATACATTTTCTATGAAGGTCATCTTTGTATTTATTCATTATTACTGTGTTATATACCTTATGTTTAGAACATTCATATAAACACTGCCATTGTTTACCCTGAAATACACTAGGACACTAAAAGATCCTTAAAATGTTGATAAATCTTTTTTGCATGAGTTATGATCATATTGTCTCACATTCCTTTTATTGGATCAGTATTCTAAATATTCTTATGAGGAGACTCCTAGCATATCTTATAAAATACTGATACATGCTTTTAAAACAACTAAAGTGATATTCTCAGTTGTTATTTCTAATATTTCTATGAATCTTTAATCACAGTGACCAAAAGAAGGATATGGAGATAATCAATCAGATCATATTATGCCAATGAATCTTTTGTCTCAAATCTTTTTTAATGAAATATACAGAATCTTTTGCCTTATTTGTCACTCATATTTTTACATTCTGGTGCAACAGTGGCCCAATGAAAGTGGGAAAAACTCAGTCTGAGCATCTCTGTAAATCTATAAACATGTGTGCCCCCCCCTTTTTTTTTTTAACCTTCATGTATATACATGTATGTATTTTATTTAGTCAGTGATTTCAAACATCAACATGTAAAATATATATTGAGTACTTTAAAAGTGAATATGCATGATTTTTACACCCTGAATATTCTGACATACTAATGGTGACATCAGTTAAAAGAGTAATTAGTTATGTAAAATTCAGTTTATATGAATGTAAATGGGGTATTTATTCTCAGTTCATGTAAGGTATAATTTGCATGTAACCCAGAGTGTATTTAATATTACTACGATGGGTCATTCTGTGATTGAATTTAAATCAGAAAAAATGTTTACTAAATTTTGGTAAAATACATATGGTATCTTTTACATTTCTGTCGTGTTTGTCTGTCAATTGTTGCTTTACTTCCTTTGTAAAATGAGGTTAATTTGTGTATCACTGAATATTGTATGCTTTTTTTTCAGGATCAGCTAAGATGTTGTTTCACTGGATTATTTAATTGGGCATATAATTGGATAATTCTGGTAAGTTTGTCTTTGTTTTGTTTACATTTCCTATGAAGGTCATCTTTGCATTTAACCATGATTATATGGTTTAATTTAATTACTGTGTAATTCTTATGTGATCTAATATCTCTAACATTCATATAAGCACAGTCTTATTTTGTCTAAAATATACTAAGGAAACTTCATATTGTTAATAAGTCCTTTTGCATAAATTATGATATAATGTCATAATTCATTATGTCTGTTACCCATGGAATTCAGACTTACTAAATTGTGATCTATAAGGAATGTAATAAAAGAAAAAGTAAGAATCTACAAAAGGTTTATCCTTGTTTTTGATTCTAAATATGTGGTATATATGGCATACATATATTTTCATTTTCACTTTTGTTTCTTGGTAATGAGCTTTTCAAAAAATGTAGGACTACATGTTGTATATGCTAATATCTTTTTGTATGCTGTACTGACAGGTATTAAACAAAATTGAATATGCTGTTAAGAGAAAGTCTGTTAGTGTCTAAAAATTACACTGATAATCATTTTGTATTTGTGATATTAATACAGTAACTGTGCTTCTTTTGTTATCTAAAGATAACATGATGAACTATTTTCATGAACTTTTTAGCACTGTATTTAAACATGCAATGTTTCATGCAGTTCCTTGTCATATTAACAAAATGATTATATTTTCTATACAGTCCTCAACCTGGAAGATATGTTTTGTTCCTAACCATCTATAATCCATTCTCTATGAAGTTCAGCCTGTCTGCCCAAATTCCTTTGGAAATACATAGTTAGTCAACCAACATAGAAACAATCAAACTTGAAGGTAAAGTTTCAATGAGATATCATTTTAATTTATTTAATTCTGTTTTATTTAAATGTTTATATTTTAAAATGGATAAAAAAATGGATAAAAAACATCTGATAATGGAAATCAATATCATAAAGATAGTAAGTTTTTTAGTGTCTAAATAATTAATCTGATAATCATTTTATTTATGATATTAATACAGTAGTTGTGCTTGTTTATTATCTATAGATAACATGATGAACTTTTCTCATCTGGAGTTAATGTTAAAAACAATTTTTTGAGATTAAAAACAAATATTTTCATGATCTTTTTTGGTATTGTACATGTTGTATTTAAACATGCAATGTTTCATGCAGTACTCTGTCATATTAACAAAATGATTATATTTTCTATACAGTCCTCAACCTGGAAGATATGTTTTATTCCTAACCATCTATAATCCATTCTCTATGAAGTTCAGCCTGTCTGCCCAAATTCCTTTGGAAATACATACTTAGTCAACCAACATAGAAACAATCAAACTTGAAGTTAAAGTTTCAATGAGATATCATTTTAATTTATTTAATTCTGTTTTATTTAAATGTTTATTATATTTTCTAAAACCTGGAAGATATGTTTTATTCCTAACCATCTATAATCCATTCTCTATGAAATGCCCAAATTCCTTTGGAAATACATAGTTAGTCAAACATAGAAACAATCAATAATGGAAATTTCAATATCATAAAGATATTTTAAAATGTAAGTTTTTTATATCATAAAGATCTAAATAATTAATCTGATAATCATTTTATTTATGATATTAATACAGTAGTTGTGCTTGTTTATTATCTATAGATAACATGATGAACTTTTCTCATCTGGAGTTAATGTTAAAAACAATTTTTTGAGATTAAAAACAAATATTTTCATGATCTTTTTTGGTATTGTACATGTTGTATTTAAACATGCAATGTTTCATGCAGTACTCTGTCATATTAACAAAATGATTATATTTTCTACAGTCCTCAACCTGGAAGATATGTTTTATTCCTAACCATCTATAATCCATTCTCTATGAAGTTCAGCCTGTCTGCCCAAATTCCTTTGGAAATACATAGTTAGTCAACCAACATAGAAACAATCAAACTTGAAGGTAAAGTTTCAATGAGATACAATTGTAATTTTTATTTATCTATTTATTTATTTATTTATTTATTTACATATGCATTTTTATATTTTTGAATTGATAAGTAAATGATATATGATTTTTTTTTTAAATAAAGAGGGCTTGGTGGTCATGGTCATGTTTAAACTCTATTGATATCCTTTAGAAGAAGAAGAAAAGGCATAAAAATTCATGATCAAATTTTTAAAACTAAAATGTATGAAATTTTTCTTTGCCAAATGATAGTTAACAGCTGAAGATAGCATATTTATAGAATAAGTTAAATATGGCTAATTTGTTAACCCCCAGCTTCCTTAATAGCATAATTGGTAAAGATAGGAAGTTTTGACTTCAATTGCTGATGAATTCTGAATTTTCCATTTAATATTAACATTCTATCAAAGAGAAAGAATACTATAATGTGGCTCATTAGGATGACCAGAAAAGAAATCTTAATGACCCTCTTGACTATGTATAAAGATTGTAACCTTATAACTGATGTAAGATGATCTGATTGTGTGGAAATAAAATTTCCTGGTGTTTCTACTACCCAAGATCTTCTTATGAGTGTATGGGACTGCTGTAATCCTTCTCCTGTTTATAAAAATAATACCTTGGAGCATGACACTTTATTCATAAAAGGCACTTTCAATATCATTTCTATGAGTTTGTGTTCTTTCTTTTTAATAATCTAGTGTTATATCTCCTTTAACCTCATTAATATGTATGCTTCCAACATCTTAGATCTGTCTGTATAGTTTCTTCAGCTCTTTGAACACAAATACCCTGATTCAATCTTTTGAGGTAAACATCATAGAGACATCATAGATGATTATCAGAGTGTATATATCACAATCTTGACCATAAGGTCAATTTAAATGGTCAAAGGCACAACAAATGAAAGTGAAAACTTTTCTTTTTTTTTTTTTTATCAGAATACATAATTTTGTAATAAACAAACACTGGAAAGTTACTCTCATAATGAGCCTTAATGTCTTCCAAGAGTTCAGTTTGGACTTCCTCCATTAATCCTTGTATCTTGTAATCCTTGTATCTCCAATGGTTTTGTGGGCTAAAAATCATGTGTCTTTAACAATCTTTTTTTTCTGACAACTGTTTTCTCTTATCATCTATAAACTTGACTTCTTCTCTAGTCAAAGGTCTTTCAGGGTAATCCAAGTAATTCTCACCCTCTTTTGGTAATAAATGGTTATATTCTTCATTGGCTTCTTCTGCAATCAAGGGTCTTTCTTTCTATGTAATCTCTGACAACATTAGGATCACCCTTTTCTGGACATAATTGGTTATATTCTTCTTGAGAAATGATCTCAATAGTGCCATCTTTTTTATTTTAACTGGTATACCTCTGTCTACATCTTTCTCTGAAAGAATTCTCTCTCCGAACTGAATTTTACTCATTCCTTTACTCTTTTCTTTACTAGAGGTGTTACCCATGGTTAATATGAAAAGTCAAAATCTTATGTTACAACTTGTTTTTATACCCTTTTTGTCTATATGTAGAATTCCATCAAGCTTATATTACATTACAATTTTTTTTTTCAACTAAGACATTATTTTTTTTATTTTTTCAGGATTCTCTAGTGAGAGGTTATGGAAATGATCTATGTCTACTCTTAGAATGGTGAAAGACTCTCAGATTATGCAAAGACTAACAGAATATCCTCTCTTGGAACACTGAAACAAGAAAACCAAACTTAAGAGGATGCAGGATTTAAGAAGAACATAAATATGATTTCCATCGAATTTAACCAGTACGATCATAGACTGTGGTTTATACAGGATGACAAAGAAAGGACCCAGGATTGTATGTTTCACTGTCAGACACTGACTATGGATAAAGTGTAATCATTTATCAAACTGAGATCTAGTCAAATCAAGTATTGAAAATATGATTTTCTGATAGCATGAGCTCTTTAAAAACTATTTCTCACTGACCTCAAAGTATCTGAATGTGACTTTTATTTTTACCAATTCATATTGAAGACTGTTGTTATGTATGGGAATTACACATTTAAACCTTTTATTTTTCATCTAATTTTTACAACCCCCTAGAAATTACACAGATATCCAGATGCTGGATTTAATGGTATTATTTAACTTTCCTGGAATTGTAAATATATTTTGTTTGTGTATGTATCATGTTTAATTTTGAATTTAAAATTTGTCTCAATAGGACCCCCATAAAGATGTAAGTGTCCCATAATCTGTGATGCAATAATATCTTGAATATTTGTTGTCATCCCATATACTTCATACTTACTACATAAAGACTGATTGGAGGAATACACTTTGTTGTTTGGGACACTTTATCAAGGTCAAAGCATGAGATTATTGAGAAGACTACTTTGACAATAATTTGTAACTTACAAACTTCACATCATAAGTACATAAATGAAGAATGAATAGGATGAATAAGAGATTTCTTAAGAAATCTTGGATCATGTTTCTCCTGAATAAAAACCAGTTACTGAGATAACTGATATGAGTCTTGCAATAACTTCAACATTTTGTAATAAGTATAGAAAATATGATTTTCTGATAGCATGGGCTCTTTAAAAATTAATTCTCACGGACTTCAGAGTATTTAAATGTGACTTTTATTTTTTGCCAATTCATATTGAAGACAGTTGTTATGTATGAGAAGTATACATTTAAACCTTTTATTTTGCATCTTATTTCTATATCCCCCTAGAAATTACACAGATATTCAGATGCTAGATTTAATGTAATTATTACTTTCCTGGAATTGTAAATATATTGTATTTGTGTATATATGTATGTGTATTGTACCCTATTTTTAAATTTAAAACTTGAAATATGATAAAGGTCCCTTAGTATCCCACTTCAAGATGCAGTTACCCAGTAATCTGTGATGCAATATCTTGAATATTTTTATCATCTCATATACTTCATGCTTACTACACATAACAGCTTATAGTAATACACATAGTTTTAAAGGACACATTTGTCAAGGTCAAAGCATGCGATTATTGAGATAACTACTTTTGAAAATAATTTGTAACCTACAAACTTCACATCATAAGTTAAGAATGAATCGGAGATTTTCTATAGATTTTAAGATCATTTTTCTTCTGGGTAAAAGTCAGTTGGTAAGATTACTAATATGAGCTTTGTAATGTTGAAACTTTAACATTTTGTTATAACCTAGAGACTTTATATCTGTTATATTGGGTGACATGGCATATTCTTTGGAAAGAATTGGAAATGTAAATCAAATGCACAACAAGGATGTTTAAAGACTTTTACTATGTAATACCTAAGAATTCTGTAAAAAATCTTATTATCACTGCATAGATAAAGACTGGTTGGAATAATATAAGTTTTGAACTAAGGTCAAGGGGAAAAACCCATTCATAAATAGATCTGCATGGGGAAGACTCCTCTAGATCTTCATTCAAAAGTAAAGAAAGTATTTTTTTTTAAGTTTGAAAGATTGAATGGCAGCATATCATTTGCTTATGAATTTAAAATGAATCCAAACATATACATCTTTAGATGATAACTGTAGAATTTTTTCAATTCCTGGACTTTCTGTCTTGATATTTTCCTTTATTTTCTGTAAAATTTAATGATTGTCTTTTTTAGTTTAGTTGCATTAGTTTCTTTTTGGCATGTAAAAATGACATCATCCAATTTGAAAGAAGTTCATCTACATTTTATATTTAGGAGAGAATTTTTCATCAAAGGTTTCATTTTTGTTTATATGGAATGCTAAGTTCTGTTGATTTCCCTTTTTCCTACTAAAGACATACCAGTAGAGTAGTAAATGTACATGATGTGTCAGCAAAGCATGCGGAAACCTGATGACTTTATCATTTCTGATTAAATCAAATTATGAGTTTCATCTTTGTTACATTGTAATAATTCCTAAATAGGACACACACCAGAAACTCTTAAAATGATCTCTACTGTTTTAACTGAGCATCAGGCTTTAACAGTACATAACTATTCCAAATGATTTTTGGACGCTTTTGTATCAAAAAGACAAAACAGTTGGTTCACAGATGTTCCAAAGAAAAACAGCCACAAAGAAATGATTTGTTATGTTCTTTGATTGATTCATGTAAAATATATTTTAAAAAGTATACTCTAACATTTATCTTTTGCATAAATAACTTTTTGTGGAGAATTTTTCATAACTTTAAAAAAAGTAGTCTTATTGTGTAATATGGTTAGCTTAAAATCTTGTAGACTTTAAAGTTTTACATGACCTGTCACACATCTTACATGTGTAACCATTTCATTTCAGGGTATTCAGCATATATTGTGGTTTTCTCTTAAATTTATTTGCTTATGTAATCAATAATTTGAGAATACTCAAATTAGGAAATGTAAGAGAGAATAGGCAAGAAAATCAGGGTTAAAAAATGTTTTTACTACAAAGGGGTTAATCTATTATTTAATATATAAGTACATTCAGTCTATACATTTCATTTGGGTATGAAATAAACTTACATTTGAGCATTTTAAGACAATTGTAAATATTACTTTAATCTGTTTTTTAAAAAATGACGAGATTCACTGTCAGCATGTTATTTCCTATAAAATAAAAAGAAAACAAACAATTTTATTTGAGTCAGTTTTTCTTTAAATGTAAATAAGAAGCATTGGAAGTTGGGAATATTTCACAAAGTTGATTGAATATAATACTCACTAGGACAGTTGGAGTATTATGATTTTACCCTAAAGGACACCAGTTTAAATTTCAATATACAAATCATGATTAGTCATGGAGTATAAAGTTTACACTTGCCAAAAAGTAAATGGTATCTCTATTCAGGGTCAATCCAAAGGAATGAAAACAATGTTTCTTTCTATGTATCAAATTTGAAGGATTTCTTGCAATAATTTCACTGTGTTCCTGTTCTGTTTTCTTTCTATGTATGGATAACCCTAACCTGTTCAATCAGAATACAAGAAGTAAATAAATTATGTCAAATGAAGAAGGTGCACAGCAGAAATTTACATGAATTGAACAGAGAATTCTGAGTTTCCCTCAAATATGGCACCAAGTGATGTAAATTTAAAAGAAAATGTGGATCCATCTTATGATTGAGACTAGTACATATTATGAATGATGGGCATTATGACATTTAGAATGACATTACATTGATTCAATTATATGGACAGCTCTTAATCCATACAGTCAAAATGGAGGAAATATTTTTCTTTATAGGCATAAAGTAAGAAACACTCAACCAATTCATCAGAATTTTACTCTTTAAAGAAAAGGAGCCTTACTTGCTTTGTTGAGTTGACATTCCTATTTTGTCTTTGGTAGGTACACTGATGGTTTCCTTGACTATAATGGGAACTTTTTATTTAAAAGTCCTCAGATTGTCCTGATATTTTGGTTAAAATAACTGCATGACATCAAATAATTTGTTCATACAAGGAAATAAAAGATTTTCCAGGTTTCTTCTATTGTGGGTCAAATTAAAAATAGTGTCCAACTAATATATCCAACATATAATACAAGATAATCATCCAAGTTACACAAAGGTAAATAAATGACCTTTTTAAGGTTTTAGTCAAAAGATCAAAGTGAGAAGGATATTTAATAGTTTGGTTAATATTCATCAAACTCCATGGATAGATTAATTAAACAAGCTTCATAAATTTTTATTTTCAGGTAAAAGATTAGCACAATTTTTGCTATACCATTGTTGTCCATGAATATCTAATCAACACTATTGATTTTTCAGGTTAAGGGTCAATGTGTTCCTACTACAGTAAAACTTCATTAATATAAGGATATCAGGGTGATTCGTTTATTTGTTAGAAATTAGTTATAAAATCTCCCACTCTTTTCTATAATATATCAGTGAATGTGCTCCTTAATTTTAAAGAATTTTACAAGCAAATCATATACTGACTTTCAATCCTTCAAAACACAATATAAATTGAATCTTGATATTAATACTTTTTAGGCTTTCAGACTTATAGGATTTCAATCTTGAAAACTTTCAGACTTTTAATCTTTAAAAACATTTAATCATGAGGACTGATTATTTATCTAGTAAGTCTTGTCTTTATGTAATTAAGATCAGTCTTTAGTTATTCAAAATTTTCATATTTGTAAAACCAAATTGTGAAAGTACGGTGTTTGTGTAATCTTCTTAATGTTTGTCTAAAATTATTGGATTTTAATACTGTCAAATATAATTTGTGATGATCAAAATTTCCAACTGAATTCAAAGACAAACTGCCTGACCAATATATATTTAAAGTTTCAACACCATACACTCTTGAATATCCCTAGATATCAATACATTTATTCAGCATTAGCTATCATCCGTAAAATAACCTAAGAAATACTTTTATCGTAACTTTAAAAAACATGAAATTCCTCACGCAATTTTAAAGAATCTTTGTTATAAGGGATATTAAAGGCAAAGGATCCATAAATTTTCCCTATAATGTGTAATTAATCTTCATGAAAAAAAAGGATGGTGTTAAGAGCCAAACCCAACATCCAAGGGAGAGGGAAGGGGGTTGAACCCTTTTGTCCAGGATACATGAATTTTAAAGGTTTAAAAAAAAAATTATAAAATTATATCAAATTTATAAGGTTAATATATTTTTAAGTTTTGTTTTTATTTAAAAATTATATTTTCTTTAAAAAAACAAAACTTAAAAACACCGTACTTTCACAATTTGGTTTTACAAATATGAAAATTTTGAATAACAAGTAGGAACACATTGACCCTTAACCTGAAAAATCAATAGTGTTGATTAGATATTCATGGACAACAATGGTATAGCAAAAATTGTGCTAATCTTTTACCTGAAAATAAAAATTTATGAAGCTTGTTTAATTAATCTATCCATGGAGTTTGATGAATATTAACCAAACTATTAAATATCCTTCTCACTTTGATCTTTTGACTAAAACCTTAAAAAGGTCATTTATTTACCTTTGTGTAACTTGGATGATTATCTTGTATTATATGTTGGATATATTAGTTGGACACTATTTTTAATTTGACCCAAAAAAAGAAGAAACCTGGAAAATCTTTTATTTCTTTGTATGAACAAATTATTTGATGTCATGCAGTTATTTTAACCAAAATATCAGGACAATCTGAGGACTTTTAAATAAAAAGTTCCCATTATAGTCAAGGAAACCATCAGTGTACCTACCAAAGACAAAATAGGAATGTCAACTCAACAAAGCAAGTAAGGCTCCTTTTCTTTAAAGAGTAAAATTCTGATGAATTGGTTGAGTGTTTCTTACTTTATGCCTATAAAGAAAAATATTTTCTCCATTTTGACTGTATGGATTAAGAGCTGTCCATATAATTGAATCAATGTAATGTCATTCTAAATGTCATAATGCCCATCATTCATAATATGTACTAGTCTCAATCATAAGATGGATCCACATTTTCTTTTAAATTTACATCACTTGGTGCCATATTTGAGGGAAACTCAGAATTCTTTGTTCAATTCATGTAAATTTCTGCTGTGCACCTTCTTCATTTGACATAATTTATTTACTTCTTGTATTCTGATTGAACAGGTTAGGGTTATCCATACATAGAAAGAAAACAGCACAGGAACACAGTGAAATTATTGCAAGAAATCCTTCAAATTTGATACATAGAAAGAAACATTGTTTTCATTCCTTTGGATTGACCCTGAATAGAGATACCATTTACTTTTTGGCAAGTGTAAACTTTATACTCCATGACTAATCATGATTTGTATATTGAAATTTAAACTGGTGTCCTTTAGGGTAAAATCATAATACTCCAACTGTCCTAGTGAGTATTATATTCAATCAACTTTGTGAAATATTCCCAACTTCCAATGCTTCTTATTTACATTTAAAGAAAAACTGACTCAAATAAAATTGTTTGTTTTCTTTTTATTTTATAGGAAATAACATGCTGACAGTGAATCTCGTCATTTTTTAAAAAACAGATTAAAGTAATATTTACAATTGTCTTAAAATGCTCAAATGTAAGTTTATTTCATACCCAAATGAAATGTATAGACTGAATGTACTTATATATTAAATAATAGATTAACCCCTTTGTAGTAAAAACATTTTTTAACCCTGATTTTCTTGCCTATTCTCTCTTACATTTCCTAATTTGAGTATTCTCAAATTATTGATTACATAAGCAAATAAATTTAAGAGAAAACCACAATATATGTTGAATACCCTGAAATGAAATGGTTACACATGTAAGATGTGTGACAGGTCATGTAAAACTTTAAAGTCTACAAGATTTTAAGCTAACCATATTACACAATAAGACTACTTTTTTAAAGTTATGAAAAATTCTCCACAAAAAGTTATTTATGCAAAAGATAAATGTTAGAGTATACTTTTTAAAATATATTTTACATGAATCAATCAAAGAACATAACAAATCATTTCTTTGTGGCTGTTTTTCTTTGGAACATCTGTGAACCAACTGTTTTGTCTTTTTGATACAAAAGCGTCCAAAAATCATTTGGAATAGTTATGTACTGTTAAAGCCTGATGCTCAGTTAAAACAGTAGAGATCATTTTAAGAGTTTCTGGTGTGTGTCCTATTTAGGAATTATTACAATGTAACAAAGATGAAACTCATAATTTGATTTAATCAGAAATGATAAAGTCATCAGGTTTCCGCATGCTTTGCTGACACATCATGTACATTTACTACTCTACTGGTATGTCTTTAGTAGGAAAAAGGGAAATCAACAGAACTTAGCATTCCATATAAACAAAAATGAAACCTTTGATGAAAAATTCTCTCCTAAATATAAAATGTAGATGAACTTCTTTCAAATTGGATGATGTCATTTTTACATGCCAAAAAGAAACTAATGCAACTAAACTAAAAAAGACAATCATTAAATTTTACAGAAAATAAAGGAAAATATCAAGACAGAAAGTCCAGGAATTGAAAAAATTCTACAGTTATCATCTAAAGATGTATATGTTTGGATTCATTTTAAATTCATAAGCAAATGATATGCTGCCATTCAATCTTTCAAACTTAAAAAAAAATACTTTCTTTACTTTTGAATGAAGATCTAGAGGAGTCTTCCCCATGCAGATCTATTTATGAATGGGTTTTTCCCTTGACCTTAGTTCAAAACTTATATTATTCCAACCAGTCTTTATCTATGCAGTGATAATAAGATTTTTTACAGAATTCTTAGGTATTACATAGTAAAAGTCTTTAAACATCCTTGTTGTGCATTTGATTTACATTTCCAATTCTTTCCAAAGAATATGCCATGTCACCCAATATAACAGATATAAAGTCTCTAGGTTATAACAAAATGTTAAAGTTTCAACATTACAAAGATGATATTAGTAATCTTACCAACTGACTTTTACCCAGAAGAAAAATGATCTTAAAATCTATAGAAAATCTCCGATTCATTCTTAACTTATGATGTGAAGTTTGTAGGTTACAAATTATTTTCAATAGTAGTTATCTCAATAATCGCATGCTTTGACCTTGACAAATGTGTCCTTTAAAACTATGTGTATTACTATAAGCTGTTATGTGTAGTAAGCATGAAGTATATGAGATGATAAAAATATTCAAGATATTGCATCACAGATTACTGGGTAACTGCATCTTGAAGTGGGATACTAAGGGACCTTTATCATATTTCAAGTTTTAAATTTAAAAATAGGGTACAATACACATACATATATACACAAATACAATATATTTACAATTCCAGGAAAGTAATAATTACATTAAATCTAGCATCTGAATATCTGTGTAATTTCTAGGGGATATAGAAATAAGATGCAAAATAAAAGGTTTAAATGTATACTTCTCATACATAACAACTGTCTTCAATATGAATTGGCAAAAAATAAAAGTCACATTTAAATACTCTGAAGTCCGTGAGAATTAATTTTTAAAGAGCCCATGCTATCAGAAAATCATATTTTCTATACTTATTACAAAATGTTGAAGTTATTGCAAGACTCATATCAGTTATCTCAGTAACTGGTTTTTATTCAGGAGAAACATGATCCAAGATTTCTTAAGAAATCTCTTATTCATCCTATTCATTCTTCATTTATGTACTTATGATGTGAAGTTTGTAAGTTACAAATTATTGTCAAAGTAGTCTTCTCAATAATCTCATGCTTTGACCTTGATAAAGTGTCCCAAACAACAAAGTGTATTCCTCCAATCAGTCTTTATGTAGTAAGTATGAAGTATATGGGATGACAACAAATATTCAAGATATTATTGCATCACAGATTATGGGACACTTACATCTTTATGGGGGTCCTATTGAGACAAATTTTAAATTCAAAATTAAACATGATACATACACAAACAAAATATATTTACAATTCCAGGAAAGTTAAATAATACCATTAAATCCAGCATCTGGATATCTGTGTAATTTCTAGGGGGTTGTAAAAATTAGAAGAAAAATAAAAGGTTTAAATGTGTAATTCCCATACATAACAACAGTCTTCAATATGAATTGGTAAAAATAAAAGTCATATTCAGATACTTTGAGGTCAGTGAGAAATAGTTTTTAAAGAGCTCATGCTATCAGAAAATCATATTTTCAATACTTGATTTGACTAGATCTCAGTTTGATAAATGATTACACTTTATCCATAGTCAGTGTCTGACAGTGAAACATACAATCCTGGGTCCTTTCTTTGTCATCCTGTATAAACCACAGTCTATGATCGTACTGGTTAAATTCGATGGAAATCATATTTATGTTCTTCTTAAATCCTGCATCCTCTTAAGTTTGGTTTTTTTGTTTCAGTGTTCCAAGAGAGGATATTCTGTTAGTCTTTGCATAATCTGAGAGTCTTTCACCATTCTAAGAGTAGACATAGATCATTTCCATAACCTCTCACTAGAGAATCCTGAAAAAATAAAAAAAAAATGTCTTAGTTGAAAAAAAAAATTGTAATGTAATATAAGCTTGATGGAATTCTACATATAGACAAAAAGGGTATAAAAACAAGTTGTAACATAAGATTTTGACTTTTCATATTAACCATGGGTAACACCTCTAGTAAAGAAAAGAGTAAAGGAATGAGTAAAATTCAGTTCGGAGAGAGAATTCTTTCAGAGAAAGATGTAGACAGAGGTATACCAGTTAAAATAAAAAAGATGGCACTATTGAGATCATTTCTCAAGAAGAATATAACCAATTATGTCCAGAAAAGGGTGATCCTAATGTTGTCAGAGATTACATAGAAAGACCCTTGATTGCAGAAGAAGCCAATGAAGAATATAACCATTTATTACCAAAAGAGGGTGAGAATTACTTGGATTACCCTGAAAGACCTTTGACTAGAGAAGAAGTCAAGTTTATAGATGATAAGAGAAAACAGTTGTCAGAAAAAAAAGATTGTTAAAGACACATGATTTTTAGCCCACAAAACCATTGGAGATACAAGGATTACAAGATACAAGGATTAACGGAGGAAGTCCAAACTGAACTCTTGGAAGACATTAAGGCTCATTATGAGAGTAACTTTCCAGTGTTTGTTTATTACAAAATTATGTATTCTGATAAAAAAAAAGAAAGAAAAGTTTTCACTTTCATTTGTTGTGCCTTTGACCATTTAAATTGACCTTATGGTCAAGATTGTGATATATACACTCTGATAATCATCTATGATGTCTCTATGATGTTTACCTCAAAAGATTGAATCAGGGTATTTGTGTTCAAAGAGCTGAAGAAACTATACAGACAGATCTAAGATGTTGGAAGCATACATATTAATGAGGTTAAAGGAGATATAACACTAGATTATTAAAAAGAAAGAACACAAACTCATAGAAATGATATTGAAAGTGCCTTTTATGAATAAAGTGTCATGCTCCAAGGTATTATTCTTATAAACAGGAGAAGGATTACAGCAGTCCCATACACTCATAAGAAGATCTTGGGTAGTAGAAACACCAGGAAATTTTATTTCCACACAATCAGATCATCTTACATCAGTTATAAGGTTACAATCTTTATACATAGTCAAGAGGGTCATTAAGATTTCTTTTCTGGTCATCCTAATGAGCCACTTTATAGTATTCTTTCTCTTTGATAGAATGTTAATATTAAATGGAAAATTCAGAATTCATCAGCAATTGAAGTCAAAACTTCCTATCTTTACCAATTATGCTATTAAGGAAGCTGGGGGTTAACAAATTAGCCATATTTAACTTATTCTATAAATATGCTATCTTCAGCTGTTAACTATCATTTGGGAAAGAAAAATTTCATACATTTTAGTTTTAAAAATTTGATCATGAATTTTTATGCCTTTTCTTCTTCTTCTAAAGGATATCAATAGAGTTTAAACATGACCATGACCACCAAGCCCTCTTTATTTAAAAAAAAATCATATATCATTTACTTATCAATTCAAAAATATAAAAATGCATATGTAAATAAATAAATAAATAAATAGATAAATAAAAATTACAATTGTATCTCATTGAAACTTTACCTTCAAGTTTGATTGTTTCTATGTTGGTTGACTAACTATGTATTTCCAAAGGAATTTGGGCAGACAGGGTGAACTTCATAGAGAATGGATTATAGATGGTTAGGAATAAAACATATCTTCCAGGTTGAGGACTGTAGAAAATATAATCATTTTGTTAATATGACAGAGTACTGCATGAAACATTGCATGTTTAAATACAACATGTACAATACCAAAAAAGATCATGAAAATATTTGTTTTTAATCTCAAAAAATTGTTTTTAACATTAACTCCAGATGAGAAAAGTTCATCATGTTATCTATAGATAATAAACAAGCACAACTACTGTATTAATATCATAAATAAAATGATTATCAGATTAATTATTTAGACACTAAAAAACTTACTATCTTTATGATATTGATTTCCATTATCAGATGTTTTTTATCCATTTTTTATCCATTTTAAAATATAAACATTTAAATAAAACAGAATTAAATAAATTAAATGATATCTCATTGAAACTTTACCTTCAAGTTTGATTGTTTCTATGTTGGTTGACTAACTATGTATTTCCAAAGGAATTTGGGCAGACAGGCTGAACTTCATAGAGAATGGATTATAGATGGTTAGGAATAAAACATATCTTCCAGGTTGAGGACTGTAGAAAATATAATCATTTTGTTAATATGACAGAGTACTGCATGAAACATTGCATGTTTAAATACAACATGTACAATACCAAAAAAGATCATGAAAATATTTGTTTTTAATCTCAAAAAATTGTTTTTAACATTAACTCCAGATGAGAAAAGTTCATCATGTTATCTATAGATAATAAACAAGCACAACTACTGTATTAATATCATAAATAAAATGATTATCAGATTAATTATTTAGACACTAAAAAACTTACTATCTTTATGATATTGATTTCCATTATCAGATGTTTTTTATCCATTTTTTTATCCATTTTAAAATATAAACATTTAAATAAAACAGAATTAAATAAATTAAAATGATATCTCATTGAAACTTTACCTTCAAGTTTGATTGTTTCTATGTTGGTTGACTAACTATGTATTTCCAAAGGAATTTGGGCAGACAGGCTGAACTTCATAGAGAATGGATTATAGATGGTTAGGAATAAAACATATCTTCCAGGTTGAGGACTGTATAGAAAATATAATCATTTTGTTAATATGACAAGAAACTGCATGAAACATGGCATGTTTAAATACAGTGCTAAAAAGTTCATGAAAATAGTTCATCATGTTATCTTTAGATAACAAAAGAAGCACAGTTACTGTATTAATATTACAAATACAAAATGATTATCAGTGTAATTTTTAGACACTAACAGACTTTCTCTTAACAGCATATTCAATTTTGTTTAATACCTGTCAGTACAGCATACAAAAAGATATTAGCATATACAACATGTAGTCCTACATTTTTTGAAAAGCTCATTACCAAGAAACAAAAGTGAAAATGAAAATATATGTATGCCATATATACCACATATTTAGAATCAAAAACAAGGATAAACCTTTTGTAGATTCTTACTTTTTTTTATTACATTCCTTATAGATCACAATTTAGTAAGTCTGAATTCCATGGGTAACAGATATAATGAATTATGACATTATATCATAATTTATGCAAAAGGACTTATTAACAATATGAAGTTTCCTTAGTATATTTTAGACAAAATAAGACTGTGCTTATATGAATGTTAGAGATATTAGATCACATAAGAATTACACAGTAATTAAATTAAACCATATAATCGTGGTTAAATGCAAAGATGACCTTCATAGGAAATGTAAACAAAACAAAGACAAACTTACCAGAATTATCCAATTATATGCCCAATTAAATAATCCAGTGAAACAACATCTTAGCTGATCCTGAAAAAAAGCATACAATATTCAGTGATACACAAATTAACCTCATTTTACAAAGGAAGTAAAGCAACAATTGACAGACAAACACGACAGAAATGTAAAAGATACCATATGTATTTTACCAAAATTTAGTAAAAATTTTTTCTGATTTAAATTCAATCACAGAATGACCCATCGTAGTAATATTAAATACACTCTGGGTTACATGCAAATTATACCTTACATGAACTGAGAATAAATACCCCATTTACATTCATATAAACTGAATTTTACATAACTAATTACTCTTTTAACTGATGTCACCATTAGTATGTCAGAATATTCAGGGTGTAAAAATCATGCATATTCACTTTTAAAGTACTCAATATATATTTTACATGTTGATGTTTGAAATCACTGACTAAATAAAATACATACATGTATATACATGAAGGTTTAAAAAAAAAGGGGGGGGGGGCACACATGTTTATGGATTTACAGAGATGCTCAGACTGAGTTTTTCCCACTTTCATTGGGCCACTGTTGCACCAGAATGTAAAAATATGAGTGACAAATAAGGCAAAAGATTCTGTATATTTCATTAAAAAGATTTGAGACAAAAGATTCATTGGCATAATATGATCTGATTGATTATCTCCATATCCTTCTTTTGGTCACTGTGATTAAAGATTCATAGAAATATTAGAAATAACAACTGAGAATATCACTTTAGTTGTTTTACAAGCATGTATCAGTATTTTATAAGATATGCTAGGAGTCTCCTCATAAGAATATTTAGAATACTGATCCAATAAAAGGAATGTGAGACAATATGATCATAACTCATGCAAAAAAGATTTATCAACATTTTAAGGATCTTTTAGTGTCCTAGTGTATTTCAGGGTAAACAATGGCAGTGTTTATATGAATGTTCTAAACATAAGGTATATAACACAGTAATAATGAATAAATACAAAGATGACCTTCATAGAAAATGTATAAAGAAAAGTTTGTTAAAACTTACCATGTAACCAGGTAACTCAGTAGAGTAATATTCATTAAATAATCCAGTGAAATAACATCTAGGCTGATCCAGGATTCAGCTGTTCAGAACTTTCTTGGAAGAAAAACGGTAGAAAATCAGTTTTGGTACTGAAATCCATAGGACCATACTGTTATTACATGAAGTCTCAAGCGCTGTGAAAGTCTGTGTTATTGTGTCAAAATAAGCAGCCATCGCGGCTTGTGAAGGACTAACATGACGTCGCTGCCAAGTTTATGACGTCACAATGCATAGGTAAGTCTATGGTATGTTTTGCACACGGCCCCCTTACAGATGATGCAACAGGTATAAAAACGGAGGTAAAACGTATTGATGCACAGGGCCCTTACAGTAAAGGTATATAAACCATGTGTGTTTTTGTAATTGTTTTCAGTAAAAAATCTAGGTTTTTATTGTTTTGAGGAAATCAGTTTGAACCGATTAGGCTAGGCTGGGTAGACTGTGAAGCGTGACGTTATAATTAAATTCTTGAGTCGCTGACAAAATCGTAGTAGCAGCGTATAGTATATAATGTAAACACAGTGTAAACAGACCCCCGTATTTAGGGGGCTATATTATGTACTGAATTGACCCGGCTATCCCCCACAGGGGCTGCACTCCCTTGACCCGGCTATCCCTCAGGGGCTGCACTCAGTTGAACCGGCTATCCTCCCCCAGGGGTGCACTCTATTGACCCACCTATCCCCCACAGGGGCTGCACTCCCTTGAACCGCCTATCCCCCCACAGCCCCAAAAGTGCACTCAGATGACCCGCCCATCCAGACGGTTTATACTACTGAGAAACAGCGCCCTTTTTGCGCAATAAATATATTTTTTTTCATTGGGTAGCTTTGTAGCATTCTCGTCTGTCAATATATTATTTTCAGAGAGCTATAGTTCTGCTGCTAGTTAATGAAATGTCGTTTATCTCGATAACTATTTTAGTTTTATGGGTTTTATCGATTTTTTTTATGAGTTATGCTGTTTTCAAGAAAATTCTGTTAACTAATAAATATAAAGTCAAGAAAGTTATTGTACATTTTTACCAGTCACCCCCCTCCCTTCCAAACACGCGCGCGCGCCTCACTCAGAATAACAACATAACTAGAGGTACTGTGAGCAATGAGCTCACTAAATGATACCCCCCGCCTCCCAAATGGTAATAACTGATGACAAAGTCCATGTTTTGCTGTGGCCGGGAAACCCAAAATATGTGTCGGATCAAAAAGTAAAATAGGAGGTGCACAATTGCAATATGTAATAAAAGTTCTGTGAATGTTTCATTAAATTTCACTCAGTGGTATAAGAGGAGTTGCGGTAAAGCGTAACAGTCGGACGAACTCAAAGAAATTGTTGTAATGAATTAAATTTGTTATAACAAATTTGACAATTCGTTATATCGGATTTGAAAATATTTTTCAATAGGTCCTAAATGGGCTTCCGTATTAATCGGTGAATTTCTGTACAGATGAACAGAGCTACGTATATGTTTCCCAAAACCACGAGTTTATATTCGGCTGTCGTGATATGATGCTTTTTCTGTTTTGTGGGAGTAAATCACTTTATTTACGATTAATTCATCTCAACATAAACCACATGTATCAGTTAGTTTATATCCGGTATTAGTAGTGACTAAAAACTAGCCATATTATTCCTTCAGTATAATCCTATTCTCCTGATATGTTAGTTTTAGTAACATGCATATACACAGGTACTTGTGGACAGGACCCCCCTCCGATATCCATCATCGGGGCTTGTTGGATTTTTTTTTCATAAATTATATTTTATTATTTTATTACAAGTATTCATCATGTGTACTACAGGTAAAAATTGAAACCCCAAAATAATCGCTCTACAAAAAAATACTGGAGTTATACATTATAGGACAGAGAAAATTACGTCGCAAGATTTATGGAATAATTATCTTCTAATTTGGTATTTGCGACCATTAATGCTGATTTATTCTAATGCAGTACAAAAATTTTGTTTGTTGTTTACGTCTTATTTTGTTGAGTTTCGTTATGTGAAATACGTCATGGAGCATTGTGTTTTGCGTCGCTCTATTATGACGTCACAATGAAAAGCTTTCACTCTCATTGATGTTCCTTTTACTGCTTCAAAGGACAGTTCATTAGCCAATCAAAATGTGTTTTACAAAACAATTGCAGTAGAATTATTGTTACACTGACATCTTTGACGTCACAAAAGATCTGTAACGTCACAATATAATCTGTAGCAACTTTGTTTAGAAATCGGCAAAATGCTAGAAAGTATTAGAAAGACGTTGGTAAGTTATATACTTTTTTATATTTTACATTTTTATGTCTACATTATATTTGACAATGTTTGTTACACTAACTAGTACTCCATCGTCGATTGCGCAAGCCGGTTGTGTTCGTTGTTTGTGAAAATAAAGTGGATACTAAATCCATGGCTGGCAAAGATGGTAACCTTTTTGATCACCATATCAGTATATAGGCTTGACTGTTTAGTCATTTTGTTCATTGATTCTTCACCAAAAAAAACCAAAAGCAAAAAAAAAAAAACAACCGCGCTAATTAATGCAAATCAAAGACTTTCATTAAAAAGGTGATTTCTATATAGCTGTGTGTAAATGGCAAAGGGGGCGGGGGGGGGATAATATCAAAAAATGTTTTAAATTGAAATATTTACATTTCCAATGTCTTTATCCGAGATAAAATTACAAATAGCTAATGTACTTTATTTCTCCATCAATGTACTGGTTATACCTGAATTACCTTTATAAGGTCACTGGACTAAACTCAGGTGACCTATTGCTATCCGTTTTCGGCGTTCGTCGTGCGTTTACATTTCACAGTTTCAGCTTAGAACTTCCCTGCAACCGCTGAACCAATTTCAGGCGCAGATCTAGAATTTTTTCAAGGGGGGGGGGGGGTTGAAGGAGGGGTTGAAGAGGAAAAGCTTTCTTATGTTCGTTTCACATATATACATGTAGTTAAATACTCCAGTAACTCAATAGGATACAGGATGAAGTGTGGCTTTTAAATTTGGGATGAGAATGAACTTAGAGAAAAAATACTTGCATGAATTACATAAAAGTTTTTGAAAAAGAAAGGAAAATAAAATCTCTGAAACCGAAAATGTAAAGGGGGTGGGGTTTCATTGAACTTTTTCTATAGTAAAAATGCAACAAAAATTTGGGACTTTCTTTTTTTTTTTTGCAAATCCATAGGGGGTGGGGGATGCAATCCCCGTTACCACTCCCCCCCCCCTCTGGATCCGCCACTAATTTCAAGCAATTTTGACATCTAACATTTATAGGTAAAGAGGAACAAAAGTTGTGAATTTCATGGTCTCTGCATCCCTGAGGCCCGAAGGATGGGGCCAAAACCACTAAAATTAATACAATGTTTAAAGTTCTTCTTCTTTACTCCTTGACATCTTGTAGTCATTGTAATAAGCATAGAGTCCTCTACCAAAATTGTAAAATTCCTGACCCCAGGGTCAGGGGCTCTAGTGCTAGGGCGGAGCTAAATAGATTATATAATGAAAGTGCATTATTTCTTTGTAATCCTTCTTCTCTGCACCTAAGCATTAATTAAACTAACCAAACGCATAGTTATGTTGAATAAGGCTGTCTCTTTCAAAATTGTGAATTTCATGGCCACAGGGTCAGGGGTTCTAGTGTTAGGGCTGGTTTTAAAGATTGTGTAGTGAAAATTAATTATTTCTTTGAAAATCTTCTTCTCTGCTCCTGGGTAAGGAAATTTGAACGCTCTGACTGAAATGCTGTTTATGGAGAAATTATGGGATTCTTACAAGATGCAGAGTCAATCTGATAACATACATTTCTGTTTTAGTTTATTCTATCGGATTGACTCTGCATCTCGTAAGAATCCCACAATTTCTCCTTAAACAGCATTTCAGTCAGAACGTTCAAATTTCCTTAGGTAAACGCAACGGAAGTGCATGGAGAATGTTTCACTTATGAGGATAACGTCCGAGAGTTTTGGCCTGACGTAATTAATCATCTCTCTCGGGTGTTATCATAATAGGTAATACATTCTCTATGCACTTCATGGACTAAGACAGAAATATATGTAGAGACATAGTGAATCGACATTTTAGGTTAGAATAAAATAAATACATGTTTTTAAACCCAGAAAGACTAGTATATATGGGAACAACGTAAACAAACCGGGGTGACATATATACCTTTCTCTCTTATTATGTACATGTATAGTAGGGTATTTTTTGTGGAGAAATTATTTTGGGGGGTTTACGATTTTTTTCCTATTGTACACCTGATGATTAAGTGTAGTAAATATAATTTGTGAAAAAAAGTCCAATAAACCCCGGGGTTGAATATCGGGGGGGGGGGGGGGGTCCTTTCCACAAGTACCTGTGCATTCATTTAAATCTGTGTAGCGTCATAGTGTGATCTTGAATATCGTAGCGGCCGCATAGCGTAAACTCAGTAAACGCGGCCACTGGTCGGCAATGGTCTGCGTAAAATCGTAATGACGTCGCGCATAGTATTTGGTTTGAAAGTGCGTAACTTGTAACACTGTAAACGACGGGTGTTAGTATTTTTGGTCATTTTATCGTTTTGGCTACGTGGATTTTTTTGGCAATTTGTCCCAAGCCTCTATAACTTACTGTGATTATGTCACACAACATTCATTAATAAATTTCTAATTTACTGGCTGATTCGACTGTTCGTAAAATAGGAAGCACTCCGTAACATGCCGCGATCTTGACAAGTTACAAGAAAAGATGGAATATTTAATAAAGATTTTTTACTTTATAACAGTCTTTTTATAAAAGTAAGGTGATAAATGAAATGTGCAAATCGCAAAGTAGTCAAATGTTTCTTTAAAAAAATACAAGCAAGTAGTAGGAGAGATTAATGAAGCGAATTTGGTGTCTAGTCGGTTTTGATACTACGACACAAATATGCGTATTATGGTACATGTACTTAACCGGGCGTATAACATCAATGTGAGCTGTATTCTTATTTAATGGGAAAACTTTTAACAGATAAAATATTATTTTTAAAATGTGTGTAAAAAAAAATTGTATTTGAAAAAACAATAAAAAATAAGCATTTTTTAAGAAACGGGAGCAAAAATTAAATGCCTAGTCTGATTTGTTACGCCTAAGATTTTTGACGTTTTAAAACACTTAAACGAAATATGCAAAAACGTCAGAAACGTATATTTTGACGTTACAAAATC